AGACATGGAGATAGGCTCAGAGAATGTGACTGGAATACTGTCACAGAGCTAGTTAGCACTAGAAGTGGGGACTGAGGGGCAGCTAGGTGGTGTAGTGAATAGAGCACCGGTCTTGGATTCATGAGGACCTGAGTTCAAATTCGGCCTCAGACACAAAACACTAGCTGTGTGACCCTGGGCAAGTCACTTAACCCCATTGCCTAGCCAAAAAAAAAGAAGAAGAAGAAGTGGGAGCTGAAGCCAGGCTCCAAGTGAGGAGGCAGGGTGGTGTAGTGGTTGAAACACCAGGCCTGCAGTCAGGAAACCTGTATTCGTTATGTGATCATGAGTCCACTTCTCTGAGCTTGTTTTCTAATGTCTAAAACAGACATCATAATATTGGGATTACCTACCTCAGTGCTTTGCAAACCTAAAGCATTCTATGTTCAAGAGTTCTTGCCGCTTAAATCCTGTGTTCTTTCCACTATACCCTCCTGGCTCTCTCGCTGCTTACAGACAAAACAGGAGTTCTTCTAAGGCTATCTGAACATAGCCTCCAGCTGGTTTCTTTCTTCATGTTAATGATCAATCACAGGAAGCATACATCCCCTTAAAATGGTCCAAAGTCCCAGGTCCATCACACAGTACTTTGTTTTGGTCGTAAAGAAAAAGCCTGGGGGCCAGCTAGGTGAGGCAGTGGATAGAGCACTGGCCCTGAAGTCAGGAGGACCTGAGTTCAAATCCAGCCTCCGATCAAACACTTGACACTTACTAGCTGTGTGACCCTGGGCAAGTCACTTAACCCCAACTGCCTAAAAACAAACAAACAAACAAAAAACAAACATAAAGAAAAAGCCTGAATAGTCTAGGGATAAGTCAAAGAACTCTAAAGGCCTAGAGGCTCCAAGAAAGTACACAATCCAGCTCCTTTCTTCAAGGAAGGTCAGCACCTTTGCCATACATAACAGATGGCTGACTATCCTATTAGGGAAAAAGATAATGAAGTCACAATCACCTAAGATGACCTGTGAAGAGGCTGCACAATCTCAGAACTGGAGGAGGTTGGGGTGCGGGGGGGGGGAATGATATCAGGGGCATTCTACCCAAACCCATCCTTTATAACGTACCCAAAACAAATGACCCAGCTTCTACTTGAAGGAAGGGGGAACCCACCTTGAAGGTGAGCCATTCTACTTTTGTTCAACTTTAATTATTAGGAAGTTGAATTGTTAGGTCCTTTTCCCCCTTAGTCAATCCACTATAAATAAGGGAAGTTGATCTTATACCAAATCACTGAATGTCAGAGCTGGAAGAAATGTCAGGGATCGCCTTGTCCAACCCCCTTACCTTACAAAGGAGGAAATAAGGACCCAAGAAGAGTTAAGTGACATGCCCTTGGTCAAAGAGCTTTCAGGTGGCTGAGCAAAGACTAGAAGTCTCCTGGACCAGTTCTCCTTTCATAATCTTTTATCTGTGGAACCTGAATCCAGACTAAGGTACACTCCTATTTAGGATCCTTTTTGGACACAGTTTCAGTCACACTTTCATACATTAGTGTATGTACAACAATGTTGTCAGAGTTTGACATTTTATCAGTAAAGGTAGATTTCCTCCAAGGCTTCTCTCTGCTTATCCTAACCTCTCATTCATTCTCATAGTTTCAAGGATGACTTCTACAACTACTTGCCAGATATTCCTACTTAGGGGTCTCACTGTTGCCTCAAACTCAACATGATCAAAACTAAACTCATGATCTGTGTCCTTCAACGAAACTCCAATGTTTGTAAATACTTTCATTACCTTAGGTTTCAACCTGGGAAACCTTCAGATTCATTCCTCTTCTTGAACCTCTACACTGAGGCAACTGTCAAATTTAGTCCATTTTTTCCTGAAGTCTGTCTCACACCCGTTGTCTGCTCTCCCTTCACTGTGGCCACCTTGGTCCAGATCCTCACTATTTTGGACCTATGTTCCTTCGAGAGCCTTCCTGACTGAAACTCTTCTCCACTCGATTCATTCCCCATACCACAACCAGCCTAATATAACTAAAACGTACCTTTCACTGACTTCCCTGCTCCAGAACCTTCTGAAGTTTAATGGCTCCCTACTTTCTACTGCACTAAATTAACCCTGGCATCTCAATTTCAAGGGCCATGATCATGTAGTCCAACTCTACTTATCTTGTTTCCCAAGACTCCTGAACATGAACCTGCTGCTCTTGTAAAGCCAGTCTCTCTACTACTTAGAAACCTACTGATTTTCATTTCTGTCTCCATACATGCTTTTCTCTGTGCATGAATGAAATTATGTTTCCACTCCAGGAATACCTTCTCTTCTTGCCAGTGACTAGATCCTACACACCTATCCTCAAAGGCCCAGCTCAAATCCCATTTCCCTAAGGTCCACCTACTTACTCTCCAGGCCCTCTACTTTGAATTCCTACAGCAGGTAGTCTATACCACAGTGTTCACCATTATTTCAAGTATTTTAGTCTCATCTCCCTAGTTAAACTAAACTCCTTGAATGCAGGAACCATATCCGTTTCTGTATTACTCTCAATGACTAGCACTTAATATGCACTTAAACTGCACCAACTAGGCATCTGGATTTTTGTAAAAAAAGTCAATAGTTTTCTGAAATTATAGTCATCAAGCTGAGCTCCAAAGAAGGAACAAGAAAGGATAACTCTCCCAACTACTCTGGAGAAGTAAGGGGTCATGGGTGTGAAATGCTGCATGCAACACTTGACTTTTTTGATATGTTGGTTAGTTTTACAGAACTTTTTTTCACTTCTTCTAAATTCTTTTTTTTTTTAAATGGCTCTCTGGAAGAGGATAAGGAAAAGAATAGAGCAAAAAATGTAAATGATATAAAAACAAAAGACATCCATAAAAACTTATTTTTTAAAAAGCCACAGTCTATAATTCTCAGCATAATTACAATAGGTAATAAAAAGCATTCAATTTGATAATACAATTCCACATTTCTGAACTTGAGGATATGCTGAAGCAACAGAAGCAAAATACTGCTTTAAGACATAGGCCAAAGGGAATCTAGGCAGCACAGTAAATAGAACTCCAGCCCTGGAGTCAGGAGAACCTGAGTTCAAATCCAGCCTCAGACACTTGGCACTTACTAGCTGTGCGACCCTGGGCAAGTCACTTAACCTCAACTGCCTCACCAAAAAACAAAAACAAAAACAAAAGACATGGGCACAAGGAAAGGCAGATATGAACTTTTTAAGACTATATCTTACTAATCCCATTGCAGGTCATATAACCTCAAAGACAAAAAGATAGCCCCCATATTTATAGAAGCACTTTGTGCAGAAGCAAAAAACTGGAAACAAAGTGGATGCTGACCAACTGTGGAACTGTTGAACAAGTCATGGTACATGAATGTAATGAAATATTATTGTGCTGTGAGAAATAACAAATATAATACAAAGAATTCCAGGAAATGGGAAGATTTATATGCACTGATACATAGTGAAATGAGCAGAGTTAGGACAATAATGTGCACAATCAGCACAATAATTTAAAGGCAAACAACTTGGGCAGACTCCAAAACTCTAACCAATGCCATGGCAAACCATAACCCCAGAAGCGGATGAGGGAAGCACATGCCTCTTGCTTCTTGGTAGGGAACGGAGGCACTAGAAGTACAGAATGAGCCTTCCATTTTCTGACAATACCAATTCACTGATGTGTTTTCTTTGAGGATATTTATTTGTTGTTATCAGGGATGGGGAAGCAAATCATCAGTGAGAGAGATGCTCCAAAAAGAATCAACAGAACAAAAATACACAGGAAAAAACAAGTTTAAAAGACATACACTGGTGGACAGCTAGATGGTACAGTGGATAGAGCTCTGGCCTTGGAATCAGAAGGACCTGAGTTCAAATCTGGCCTCAGACACTTGACACTTACTAGCTATGAGACCCTGGGCAAGTCATTTAACCCCAACTGCCTCACCAAAAAAACCCAAAAATCAAAAACTCTTTGGGGAAGCTAGGTGGCATAATGGATAGAGCACCAGCCCTGAAGTCAGGAGGACCTGAGTTAAAATCTGGCCTCAGACCAAATACTTGACACTTACTAGCTGTGTGACCCTGGGCAAGTCACTTAATCCCAACTGCCTAAAAATAAAAAAAAAATTTATAAAAAAAATAAAGCAAGACATACACTGGGCAATTTCACTGCTAACTTGCTAAACTTAATATGTACTTTTAAAAAATAAAACAGAAGTTTATGGTTTCCCATATAGGACAGGGACTAGGCAGAGAGTGAACCTGTGATTTCATCAGTAGAAGGAATGCAGAGAGGAGGCAACATGGCACAGGAGCTAGAGAGCCAGCTTCATTAAGTAAGGTCTGGGTTAAAGCCCCACATCTATCCCCTACTGCCTGTGTGACCCTGGACAGTTAATGCTGCAGGCAACTCTCTTACCCTCTACGTTGCAAAGAGAGCACCATCCTGCTATGGCAGAGGGAATTTCTGGAGTCCCTACACCACCGAAATCACAGGCTCACATACATTCTCTTTTTTGTTCCTTGTTGGTGCTTAAGTCCATAATTAAAAATCAAAGAGAAAAAGAGAAAACCATCAAATATGAGAAACCTAGAAAAAGCTGGGAAGACTTGTTTGAATACATAGAAAGAAGTAAACAGAATGAAGGAAACAATAAACAAGATGACTAAATGATATAACTGAAAAAAAAATACTAAAAACACTGGTTAAGAGTCTTGACCAATTTTGGTCCTGGAGAAGAAAGGATACACACACCTCCCTCTGTTCCTCAGACAGGTAGGCAAGCACGAGTGAGAAATGTTTCACACGCTGCCAGATGTGAGCTGACAAGACTTTGCTGCACTGTTTTTTCTCTGTTCCAAGGGAAAATTCACTAGCTGGAGGAGGGCAAAGGCAGCTAGAGGAGAGTATACCTGGCAATGACTGTGATTCAGAAAACCAGGAACATCAATGCAACTTTACTAACAAAACCAAAAAAGGAATACATCTCACCTTAGCTGGAAGTTTGACATTCTCAAATACATTTGCAAGAAGACACAAGATCACACAGAGAAGTGCAGAAATCAGCATCATCACCCCAACAGCCATCAGCCAAGAGACACTACAGAAGTAGCACGACCTCTCAGCCGAGGTGCACACGATGACGTGGACCGCAGAGAGAACGAGGACCATCAAGTAGAAGAGCAGAGAAAACAAGGAAGACCACAGTGGAATCTCAAACTCAGCCTTCTGGCACAAGGCTTTCGGGGTACTGAGCAAAAGCAGAATCAGAACCTAGAATGGAAAATTGCAAAAGTATCATCATGCACTAATTTTGAGATTCTAAGAAATCTATATTTAAAACAGATAATGTACTTCTCGTGCCCTCGTTTATTCCAGGAAGTACACATAACAGTTGACATAGGGAACTAGTGAAACCAAACGATGTTTCTCAAGTTTGATTTACAACTAACTATAATGATGCACAACTTGTTTCTCTCAGCATCAGCAAGCACTGATGCTAAGAAGTTAAGGAGGGCAGGTGAAGGTTAACAGTCTCCTAGCCTTATCTTCTCATCTCACCAAGTAACCAAGTCAAAGGGAATCATTTGGCACCCGACCCATGCCCAAAGCTGATACTGTGTAAAGATCAGGAAAGCCAAGGGCAAAGCCAAGAAAGTGGGAAAAGGTTGGTTTCTCATGTTTTAAAGGACAGACAAGGATGATTCTTCAATATATCATCAGGAAGTAATTTCATCCACACGGCCACTGCACATTTCAGTGAACAGTCTTTTAATCACTTCATGGTCAACCTTGTGATGCTGATACAGCTTTCCAAGCTTAACCAGGCTGGTTCACAGACAGCAGACTCAGCCTGCAGTAGGGCTGCACTTAAAGATGCTCCAGTTTAGACGAACCTGTCAGAGAATGCACTGTGCAGGTGCCCTTTGATATAGCTGGCACCTTTCCATACTATGATGGGGCACTCCAACACTGTGGTGGACAGAGCAGAGCTATATAATGCTGGTCTATGACTAGAATATTAACAAATAACAACCCATACCTCCAAGACTATGACAGTCCCAATCATCATCGAGTACATATCATACTGGCCTACTTGTTTGCTCAGCGACATACTCATGGTCTTCAAAGCATTTAAATACTGCTTAAGAACTTTTCTGCCAAGGTTTAAAAGGACTTCTGAATTATTTCCCTCCAAGTACAGCTTAATCCAATTCCCATGCAACTTTTCTGTTACTTTAAACTGCTGAAATCCAGGATCTAAAATGAGAAGAAAAAAAAGTTTTAAAACAGAAAATTATAATTAGATTATGATATAATTATAGTATCTTCAAAGTCTTACATCTGACAACTGGAAAAGTCATTCTAAAAACTGATACTTCATGTAGCTTAAGGGCAACTGGTTGTTGTTGGTTTCTTTTTTGAAACGTACATAATGAAAACCTAAGACATCTCTGCAAGAAATAGCCAATGTGGTAAACACTTCAGTTTTTAATCATATTTGTTTAAATATTTTCCCAGTGAATGCTTTTCCAGACAACAAAGTTAAATCTAAAAGGTCCCCAAATACTGTAGAGCTCAACAAAGAATCTTAAAGTTGGAAGAAATCTCAGAGCTCAGAGAATCCAACATCAATCCCTTCCTACATCCTCCTCAACGAGTACTTATCCAGTCTCTTCAGGAGCACATCCACTGACAGGAAGGTCATTACCTCCCATGGTTATCCAGAGCAATGGGTGTTAATCTCAAGGAAAATAAATTGTACAAATGGAGGAACACATTTTAGTAACCTCTGACCGGGGAGGGGAGAGGGAAAAAGAAACATTTATATGGCGCCTACTAATGGCTTTTATAAATATCTCATTTGATCTTCACAGCAATCCTGAGGCAGGTGCTCTTACCATCCTCATTTTACAGTCAGTTTATACTGCTTCTCTTCTTCTTATTGGTAGGCACCCTTTATAAACTTTTCATTCAGAAGACAGCTTTCCATATGCTGTGACAGACCTTTTACACCTCTGGAAGCTGGAAGAGTTTCAGTTTCTGTAGTCTAAAAAGAATGAGGATGTTCCACCAACCATTGCTGAAGCTGAGAAAACCTCATTTTGCAAAGACCTAAAGGTATCCAGTCCAATCACCTGTCTAAATAGAAATCCCCAACAATTTGACATCCAGCCTGTGCCTGAATCTATTAAATGATGGTGAATGTACCACCATATAAAAAAAGGCCATTAAGGGGCAATGAATAAGAACTATCTTCCCAAGACTAAGCTGAAATCTATACCCACGGAACTTCTACCCAACTGATTCTGGTTTTCTCAATTGGCGCATACAAAACAAATGTATTATATCTCCCACACGTGCAGGGTTCAAACACCTGTAGAGACAAGATACGATATCTTGTCTTCAATTCTACCTTTTCTAGGACAAAAACTCTTAGTTCTTTCAACCAACCTTCACTGTTTGGTTTTAAATCTCTGCCACCACAGTGATCACCTTCCTTTACATCCACTATAATTTGTCAACATCCTCTTAAAATGTGTTCCCCCCCAAAAAAAGTGGTCCCAGAAATGGACACAAGATTTCAGCTCTGACCCAGGCAGTGGACAGGGGGGCAAATACTTCCCTCATTCAGAATGCTAAGCTTCTACTAATGCAGTCTAAGATTATGTTAGCTTTTCTGAGAGCTGTCAAAATTGCTGGCTTATCTTAAGGTTGCAGTCATAAAAACAGCCAAGTATTTTCCTAATGAAATACTGCCAAGCCACCTTTCCCCATCCTGTATTTGTACAGAAACTCTGAACCTAAACTCAGGATTTTACATTAGATGCTACTAAACTGAATTCTGTCAGCATCTGTCCATCATTAGTTTTAACTTTCTAAGACCTTTCTGGCTCCTGATTCTGCCACTCCAAGTAGAAATCACATAATTTTAGATAGAAGGGAACTCAGGGGGTCACTTAGCCCAAATCCACATGACATGCCAATTCCTTCTAAGACATTCCTGAGAATTGATTAACTTGCCTCCACTTGAGCATTTCCATCATATTCCAAGGCAGCCCAATTCCATGTTGGGCATGTCTAATGATTAGGAGTGAAATGGCTGAAATAAAATCCCTTTGGCCCTAGCTCTGCCCACTGAGAAAAACCAGATCAAGTTTAATCCCACCTTCTATGTCAACCTTTCAAATATTTGCGGTCAACTATCATGTCCATCCCAAGTCTGTTTTTCTCTAGGTTAGATGCTTCTAGTTCCTTCAATGAATACTCACACAGCATGATTTCAAGTTCCTTTACCATCTTGGTTACACTGTTTGGGCGTGCTTCAGCTTGTCTCACCATTCCTAAAATATGGCACCAAACTGTGGGCTTACAAAGCAATGTGCAATCACCTCCCTTGTGACCAACATGATACTTTAATTAATGTGGCCTAAGATCTTACCAGCTTTGGCTGCTATATCACAAATACAATGATTCACATTCATCTCATGGTCTGTCCATTAAATATATTAGCTTTTTCACATCAACTAGTGCCTAGTCACATCTGCCCAACCTTGTACTTATGTATTGGATAATATGAACTCCAGGACATTTGAGTTTATCATCTATATTAACCATTGCAATGACCTGTGATTTCATTAGTATAGGTACTCCTACAGGTATGCAACTGCAGAGATTCTACTCATCTATGACTCAACAGGTCCTCAAGAGTTACTATGGTTAAACATTCCATCACCTTTTAGCCAACCTGCAGAACTGCCTCTCTGGACTTAGATAGCCTGACACATGGGTGCCAGGCCCCCGGGTCCTCATGGCAGAACTTTGTGCTCTCCTAGCCCAGACTTCACACCATACCTTCACACTACAATGAGGCTCCACAAGAAGGTTTTGGTGGTGGTCCTCCCCCTCTCCCTTTTATTGTTATTAAAATTCGTCTCATTAAATTTGGTCCATTGCTCCAGCCTGCTGATATCTTCTTGAATCAAAATTCTGTTACTTAATGTATTAGGTATCTCTTGTATTTGTATCATCTGCAAAGCAGACATCTATACTGCCTTCCTCCAAGTCATGGATAATATTCTTAAAGGAAGTCAGGCCACTCACTCTGGGTTGGCATAGTTCTGTTAGTCACTATTACTTGGGGTTTAGTTTGGTCAAATTCTAAAAAGTAAGGGCTAAGCTTAACTCCCTAGGCAACTACACCCAGCAGACAAAATGAACCAATGTTACTGTGATGCTTTCTTACAGAGGGACCGACTAGGGGCTATTATCTATTATATAGGGTGTCCCAAAAGTCTTAATGAAGTTTTAAGTTTTAATAGCCTAAAATTACACTAAGACATGAGAACTCTGGGAGCCTGGGCTGCTCCCCAGCTCATTTTGTGCAGGAGGCAAAGAAGCAGATCTAATCTCAAGGACTATGGACTAAAGTAGTAAGTGTCAACCACAAATGTGTCCTAATATCCAGGAAAACTATGGACTTTTTCTTTAGACTCTTGAGTCCTAATCAATCCTGGTACTTTGAAATAAATCTGTTTTCATCAACAAAAAATACTGAGTATGCCTAGCAAGATTTACCAGCCGTGTCAGTAATTTTTATTTGCATCTTAGGTACTTCAGTTAACATGTTTTTTAATTCTCTCTACTATCTCTTCATCTGTCAGATCACAGATTACTAGCAGGACTCAAATGGTTCTAGATATTTAAAAATAAAAACGATGACCACCTTCTTGTGGTCACCTTCTTGTCTCCCAACTGACTCTGCTGACAAGTTCCCTTTCCCCTCACCCTTTCCCCCCCATTCTTTGTCCCTCCACTAACTTCTATTCCTTTTTCTCTTTCCTTTTCTTTATTTGGTGCTTAACAGTAATAAAGTTTAAAAACTGCTACAATATGCCTTACCCAGTCTAAGAGTAGCAAACTACTTTATTAGGCATATAAAAATTCATCTTCCCATTGGTTATTCCCTAAACACTGCCAGCCAACTCACATTAAGCACCACAGGCAGTAAAAGAAGGCCTGGTAAAACCTTCCCAGAAGTGACCTTGATGCAGATAATCTCAGGCACAAATTCTGCTGATAGGAAGCATGGCAATTTAACAAAAAGAAGGCAGCAGCAGCAGCATCTGCATACAGGAACACGAATGACTATGCCTCATTTCGATTCCCTCAGCCTCAGAGCAGCTCCTAAGAGAGAATATGAGCGACTTGCCTTTCTCATACATCGGCACATTCTCCTGCAGCAGTCTGCTGAGCTGTACTGAATTTAAGTGCAGGAACCTCAGCTGCTCTCTCATTGTTGCTCCTTCTACAACTGGAAATAACAGGCTCCCCACGCTATTCTTTGGAATTCGGCAAACCAAGGCCCACTGCTAGTGTGGCAGCCAGGTCAGTCTGCTGGACATGCTCTGGAGGTTGGAAGTTACCTAGAAAAATGAGAAAAAGTTTCTTACTCAAGGCAGTGCGACATCAAGGAGTCAGCCCTGAACCCAGAACCCTCCCACCATCTCTTGGATTAACTAACTGTATGAACTTGGGCTGCTCTTTGGACTCTGGGGCCTCAGGGGCCCCTTGTGTAACAGGAAGGCACTGTAGGAGATGATGTCAAAGTACCTGCCAACTCTAAAACGCTACCATTTTGGGATCCTCTCCAGCCTTCTTGAAAGTAACCAGTTTTCAAGCACAGTTCCAAACGAGAGAAAGAAAAAGACATCCCTAGTCTATTCCTTTGAAACAGTAGGAGGTGTACAGGGGCAGCTAGGTGGTGCAGTGGATAGAGCACCGGCCCTGAAGTCAGGAGGACCTGAGTTCAAATCAGGCCTCAGATCAAATACCTGACACTTACTAGCTGTGTGACTCTAGGCAAGTCACTTAACCCCAACTGACAAAAAGAAACAGTAGGAGGTGTATGGTGTGACACACTGCACATATTTTCACTTTTCCAATGAATTAATTTGTCTTGCTCATTTTTTCTTTCTTTTTTTCCTTTAAAATATTACTTATCATATGAGATGGCTCTCTGGGAATAGGGAAGGGGAGGGGATACTATAAGAAAATTTGGTAATGTAAAAAAAGAATCAATAAATTTTTTTTTTTAAAAATCATTTCACTTCAGAAAAACCTGGAAAGACTTGCATGAACAGATGCTGAGAGAAGTGAGCAGAACCAGGACAACACTACACAGTAACAGTAATACTGTGCAATGACCGACTTTGTTAGACTTAGCTCTTTTGAGCAACGCAAGGATCTAAGACATCTCCAAAGGCCTCATGATGGAAAATGCTATCTACATCCAGAGAAAGAATTATGGGGGATGAATGCAGACCAAAGCATACTATTTGCTCTTTTTTTTTTTTGGTTGTTTTTTGTTTTCTTTCTCATTGTTTTTCCTTTTTCTGATTCTTCTTTCACAACATGACTAATGTAGAAATATGTTTAATATGATCATACATGTACAGCCTATATCAGATTACATGCCATCTTGGAGAGGGGGGGAATGGAGGAAGGGGAGGGGAATTCAGAACTCAAAATCCTATAAAAGCAAATGCTGAAAACTAAAAGTAAATCAATATTTTTTTTAAAAAAATCAATCATTTCACTAACTGAATGCTAGTAGCTGGGACAATGCAAAATTCTACCTCATCTAATTTAGGACTTAATTAACTAAACCTTGTGTTCATCCCTATCCCCAGCCATCAGTTCTCACACAGTACACTGCACACAGTGAGTGCTTAATAAAGGTCTGTTGAATTGAATGTGGGCAAAACGATCTCACTTAATTCAATTAACATTTATTGAACACCCATTCAAATTCCTGCTCTGTGGTAGCAGAGGGATCAGGGAAGGATAAATGGAAGAGATGGCAATTGAGCTAAGCCTTGAAGGATTCTGAAAGGGGAGATGAGGAGACAAGGAGAATGATCTGCATAAATGGAAAGAGGAACCAGTATATCAAGTGCAGAGACTAGCTGTAAGTTGAATACGTGAAGGGGAATAGTGAAAGAAGGCTGGAAATGGAAGGCTCAACGTTCCTAGTTGCTTCAAATGACAGTCTTCTCTAAGACATGATGATAATCAGAGTCAATGATTACAATCACAGTAAATGGGTCCTTTTATCCATTTCTAATTTAATATATTCAGCATCTTATTTAAATAAGGTTTCTTGGGGATTATTATAACTATAACTATTGTCTTCTCATCTACCCTTTTTTTATTTTGATTTTCATTTCTGTTCTAAGTGGTCTGACTATACATGGCTCTGAAATGACTCCATCAGTAACCTGTTAATTCCCACAATGAAATCAATTTCATTTTTTGAGATGATACTCAGTGCTTACCAGGTCCAGAACCTTCTGACTCTTTCTTAAGAAAACATTCAAAACATACTCTTCCAAACCTTCCTATTCTGTGCAGTTTTTGTTCCAAGTCTTTTTGTAAATCTAAGACTTTCCAGGTTACCTTTTAAACAGGAGTGAGGAAGTCCTTGATAGTTTTCGAGCCAGAGAAATCTGACCATGTGGGAGGTAAGGTGAACCATGTGTGTAGGTGCCTTGTATGAAGTCTTCCTTGACATATGCAAGAAGAATCTCATTAACAAATGAGTCAGGCATTTTCACTTCATGATGTTAAGGGCTGTTAAGGGGTCCCAGAACTTGTCTTTTTGAGTTGCTGTATTTTCCAGAAACGCTGGATCCAAAGTGTGCAGGAGGCCCTGAATGTGTCAAAGATGAAGCTCCCCCTAAGCTGACATAATTCGTTGTTGCACCCCAAATTGGACTCCTTGTATGTCCTTGGGAGGCAAGACAGACACCAACCAGTCTCTGCCAGGCTGGGATAATAGCTTGGGTCCTTTGCAGATAAGAATCTCCCATCTTCATATTTTCCCCAGGAAAAAGAACAAGGCTTTTGCCATTATCTTGCCGCTCCTCATGGGGAGTGGTCTTGTCTTTTTTCCAACCTTTGCTGCACCATTCCCCTTCCCATATTATACCCCTTCCTGGTATCCCCTCCTCCCTGGTCCTGCTATTATAAAAATGTAAACTTCTGTAAAGACTGGGAACCTTATAGGTTCCACATGCATGTTCATTTCTCTTGTAATAAACCTGGTTCTCACATAAGTCTTGTGATGTAGTGACTGTTGACAGTATTCATTCAGTTGCTGCCACTACATCACTACATACATACCACACACAGAATACCTTCTTGACTGATATGCAGTGCTCAATACTTACCTATGATGCAAGAGACAGAGTATCACGGAATTTATTTTTGCAGATGACATTCGTTCCCTCGTGGTCCAAGGTGCACTGAGTGTTCTCGCCTTTTACTGTGATCAGTCTTCTGGGCTACAATAGGGCAATGCTCTTCTCCCTTCTCCAGAGTGTTTCTCCTCTCTGAATTCTTTGCTGTCAGTCTGACCTTGATTTCATGCCTTGGCCTTCCATGATCTTTCTTCCCCCTTTCAGGGGCAGCCTACCTGTCCTGCTGAGCTCCATCCTATTGTCGCATTCGTGTCGGTCTCAGGAACTGGCTGAATGCTCTCACGCTGTCAGTACCAAGGGCAGCCTTGTGAAGAAGCAAGCCCTCATCATCTGCTACCTGCCTTCTCCACTCTCCATCACAGACCTGGCCCCTGGGCCAGCCAGTGACCTCATATGGAGCACTTTGCACAGCAAGAGTCCTTGGAATTCTTTCCATTTGATCTTCTTTGCAGCAACATGGACAACCACTAGCCACTCTGAGATCCTGGCAATGACTCTTTCCTCACTGACACAGAAAAGAACTACCTCATGTCACTGAGGGTGAAATAGAAGTGATTAAATGCTGTCTTAGTGAAAAGAGTACATATTCATTAAGTGTTTCTCAGAATGGTTCTTTAAATGATTAAATTAAGCAAATACTGTTCAAGTGCCTGCTATGTAAGAAGCCTTATGCTAGGTGATGAAGAAACATTAAGACCTGGTCCTTGCTTTCATGCAATGAAGCATAACGAGGAAATATGACACAAAGCTAAATAACCACAGTAAAACTGTCTTAAAAATATAAAGCACAGAAGTAAAAGCAGAATATTTTTGTGTGAGGTCTAAGCAATAAAACATCACTGCTGCCTGGGGGGAAGAGGGAAGATTGGAGAAAACTTCCTGGAGAAGGTAGAATAGCAGGGTTTGAAGAGATAAAGAAGATTACTAGGCCTAAAGAAATCAAAGAAAGATGAAAAGGATCCATATGTACAAAAAATATTTATAGCAGCCTTTTTAATGGTAGCAAAGAACCAGAAACAAAGGGGATGCCCATCAATTGCGGAATGGCTGACAAAACTATTATAACAACGTAATAGAATACTACTGTGCCAAAGAAATGATGAAAGGAACAGTTTCTGAGAAACCTGGGAATATTTACATGAACTGATCCAGAAAAAAGAGAGCAGAACAAGAGAGCAATTTAAAGAATAAGCATATTTTAAAAACAAACAACTTTGAAAGACTTAAGAATACAATGATCTGATCAACACAATGACTAGCCACGATTCCAGAGGACTAATGAAGCATGCCATCCATGTCCTACCTGAGAGGTGACAGACTCAGGGTAAAGAACTAACACACATACATACGTTTTTACATGACCAATGTGGGAATCTATTCTGCTTGGCTGTGCACACTTATTAGAAAAGCTCTGCTTTTCTGTTTTTCAGTTGGGGGACCGGTGGTAGAAAGGAGAAAGAATGGATTCTTGTTCATTGAAAAAAATTAATTTAAAAAATATAGGCAAAGAACTCAGTATGTGAGGAGGTAGAAGAAATTCCAGATACTAGAAAATCAAGAGCAAAGACTCAAACGCAGGAAAGTACAGGCTATTGCAAATAATTTTGTTTGGATCTTTGGCATTTGGCAGGTAGTATAGTAAGAAAAAAGACTGAAAAGATGAAATAGTACCAGATAGTTAAGATCTTGAATGCCCAAGTACTTAAAACTTCTCTGCCCTCCGTTGCATCAAATGTAAAATGGGAGGATTGGACTAAGATAACCTCTAAGGTCCGTCTTTAGCTCGACTATGTCCATAATCCTAAGGCTTCAGCGTTTTTTTCCCATTTCTTCCCCCTCAATCACGTTTTCCATCCTATTTTTCCCTGCCCTCCCTGGACCTACTTTCACAACGAAGTCACTGAGTAGCAAAATATACTTTAATTTGGAGGATCTTTACAGTTTCTTTGAGAATTTCTCTACCACTTCATCCTCTGTAATGTATGTTGGCACAAAAGCTACAACTGTCTTTATGGCAATCTTTGCCCATGCTCACCATGAGAGCCACAAGGCACTACGACCAAGCACTCCACGAAAAGATGTTTCTTGTTGTTTTGGAGGCACAGTAAAACCAATGCCATCGACTCCATCATTTGCCTCTCCAAGGACAGCATGAGAACCATCCTTGTATTTAGCTGCAACTTGACAGCTTCTGGTTTCACTTATGATGAGAATGTTAATATGAAAATGGTTCAGTATATTCTTCAGTATATATATTGTCCATGAGCAGAGATCTCACATATAATCCTAATAGTTATTTTTACAGATGGCATAAACACCATGTCACCCAATAACACTAAAAAAAACCATTAAAAGGTCTCAACCTCTATAACCAATGCCATGTGCAATCATGACTTCTGAGAAATGACAGTGATGCCTATCTCCCACCCCTTGGCAGAGAGGTCACTCCATGACTCCCCCACTCAATTAACTCTAGTGGCTCTATTGTCTCTGAGATCAGAAACAAACAGTTCTGCTTCGCTTTGAAAGTCTAGTACAAGTTGGCTCCAATCTGTCCTTCTGGCTTCCCTAGACATTGTTCTCTCTGTTCCTCAAAAGCAACAGTCCACCTCTCGTCTCCATGCCTTTTCGCGGGTCATCACACACGCCCTCCTCGCCTCGGCCTCACAGAGCCCTACTTCCCTTGATGACACAGCTGAAACATTCTTCTTTTACATGAAGCTTTTCCTGACCCCACTCCCCACAAATACTAGTGAGTGCCCTGCTTGATATTTAACCCCTCTGTACATAGCTGTATTTGTTAACTGTATATGGATGCTGCTGAAAAGATTAAGATTGATCCTGTACCATCTTCTTATTGATCCTATTTACAATTCATTGAGCTTTGTTCCTGTAACTACTTAAGGCATGGGTCTTTGTCTCTGAACTTAGTTCAGCTGGCCTGCAATGCCTTAAGGTTAAAAATCCAGCTCTCCTGCTCAAGGAATTTAACTGATCTTTGAGAACACATGTCAAAAGAAAGGGACACGGGCCTGGTATCTTTACTCCACCAAGCTATCTCTGGGCCACTATCTCACACCTGGACTCAAACAAAGAGAACCTCTTAGCCTCATGAGAGAAGGGAGGTCATTGCGAGCCCCCTACCATCAAACTTCCAGCCATCCACGTTGCTTCCTGCACCTCAGCTCTGTAATCAGTCATGCTGCCCTCAATCCTGTCATCTACCATGCTCTGTTCTTTGTCTTCTACTTCCCAAAACCTATACAAAGGGAATTGTTCTTTTGCTTGGAGTCTTTGGCATTAATGGAGGCAAGCCAATGACTTATTTATTGACAGGTAGAATGCTCCTGAAAAGAAATGTTATCTTGCTCAGAGACCTGCCTCAGTTTACTTTTTGCTAAATTTAAACATGATGCTGTACATATTTTATATGTACATATTGTGTTTCCCCATTAGAATGTACGCTTCTTGTGAGAAGGGATTGCTTTGTTCTTCGTACTTATATCCCTAGGGCCTTGCACATAGTAGGCACTTGATAAATACTTGCTGAGTGACTAGAATGAAGTACACACTTTCAGACAGAGCCAATGTGTTGATTTGTTTTGCCTGACCATACTCATTTCTTAAAAGGGAGAAGGTGGGTGGGAGGAACATTGGGAAGTGACAGTGATGTTTAAAAAAAAAAGCATGAATAAAACATGTGAAAAAAAAGAAAAATAAAACCTATATTATCCTTAGCACTCATCACATCTTTTTTCACTACAATCACTATGGCGGTGAGAGGTGCCACAAAGGACTATTTTATATTCTTTGTTTCACAGTTTGCAAAGGCCAAAGAATTAATCATTTTCTAATAGCCAACCTGCCGGCTACTGAATGTCTCTGCGTGTAGGCTGATCTAGGCCCATCACTCAAAGCCTTCTGAACTTGGGTAAAATTTGCCAGAGCTAGGATGCTACTGGGAAGGTCTTTGACAACTGAGGTTCCCCTCCATGCCATAGTGAGTCATCAGAGGGATATTTCCGTAGAGGAATCCTTCTTTACTAATAACACTATCCAAAATTTAAACCAATTTCAAAAATAAATCTTACTCATCTTTCCATCAACAGTAAGAGAAAGATCATTTCATCACAAGCAACTGGTACTGAATTCTTTTAATCCCATACCTCCTATGTCGGAAGGTTCAGACAATTCTTAGCGTCACCTTTAAAAAAAAAATTCTCACTCTCCTAACAGGGTATCAATTTACCCACAACCGCTTTTAATTAAGTCAACCATATCCCTTCTAAGACCACAGCTGGAGAATAAATTGGAATATAAACTCTCTAAGAACCCTACAGGAAAAGGAAGGTACCTGTCTGCAACCAAGCCTCACTGGCTGAGAGACTACAAAGGCCTCCAACATTCAATCCAGTCCTATGGTGTCGCCTGTGATCTCTGGTGACCTAGTTAACTCAGGCTAGCTACATCATTTTTTTTTAAATTCCGTGTTAGATAATGGAAACTTCCCCATAAAATGAAATATTCCTTTCCCCTTCTACTCTAAATAAGCCGCTGAGTAGTCCTCAGGTTTCCCACAATATATATTAATAGCTCCCGCTACTTCAACGGATCCATGACTGCAGAGATGGAATTGCTCTTTCCGACAATGCTCATCATACCCCATGCAGGCCGGCCTAGGCTGGGCAATGCTTGTCCGTATCTATTTCCAGATATCTTGGCAATAATTTTCACCTTTTACAAGTCAGCTTCACAGGCTCACAAACCAAGAGCTAGGAGGTATCTCAAAGTCTAACCCCTTCAATTTTCCAGCCGAGGAAACTCAGGCCCAGAGAGGTCAAGTGTCTTGCTCAATAAGTCAGCTAGAATCAGAGGCAGAATTTGAACCCAGATCCTCTGATTCCTGAACCAGGGTTCTTTCCATAGCACCATTTCTGTTAACACTTCTGGTCCTTAAAATCAGGTACATTCTAGGAAGTAGGTAAGTGATTCCAATCCTCAGGCCCAAACTGCCCAGGAAAAATGTCAAACAGTCACATGCACAGCATTGGGGAAGCCACACAGGGAGACACAATGTTCAGATCAAGTACCATCTCTGCTTTCACACAGCTTACATTAAATACACAAAGAGCTTTGCTGCAGATACATGCTAAGTGAATGAGAGGCACAACAAAGACTTATATGAGGGTCAAGGCAAGTAAACAACAAACAGTGAGGAAGAAAACCACTTGAGCTGGGCTTTAAGAGAGGCTTCCACATATAGGGACTGTGGTAAGCAAAGGCACAGAGGCAGAAAACTGAGGAGGGAGGGGGCAAATCGGCCATGTATGAAGGCCAATAATTATCTATTTTGTCTGGAACATAGAGTACGTAGAGGGGAGCAGTATGAAATAAAGTAGTGGAGAGGGGAGGAAGGCTCCATATCATTAAGAGCCCAGAATGCCAAGCTAAAGTTTCAGGGTATGGGGAAGAGTAGACACATAATTGAGTCTATGCATGAGGAAGAGGAATCAGGCAGGGATACAAAGGATGGCTGCAACAGACCAGGTCTATATAGTGTGATGGCAATGGGAACAGAGAGGAGGGGACAGAAGTCAGAGAAATTGCAAAGGCAAAATGATTAACAGTTTAAGAAAAATCTTCTTGAGAAACTGAGATGATGATACATACAATGTATATAAATGCAGAACTTTAAATTTAACAAAAAAAAGTTCAAAATTCATACCGCTTTTCCTTTGAAATGCAGAGCTGATCAAAATCAGAGGTGTGCTCACTTCCTCTACTGAAGAGGCTCCATGGCCTCCTGTTTCAGACATCCCATGATCTCCACAAAGGACCAATAAATGGGGCAAAGAAGCCTCTCTCTCCTACAATTAAAAGGACAAACTTCTCAACTGTATTACAAGTTGAAGGCTGCTGTAAGCTCTAGAGGCCTTGGTCTGCCTCAGCACTGTAACATACATATAACACTGGGACAGAAGACTAAGGCTCAGGAACTAAAGGAACCCATCTAGTCTAGCTCCTGATGGCCTAACAGCCCTCTGGGATTCCCCATCATCTACAGCCATTTAGAGCTCTCCAACTCTGATCTTCACCAGCCCTGTGGATCTCCTGATTAATAGCTGCTGAAACACTACAGAAGAGTCAAGATTACGAGAAAACACATCCTAGGTGGATCGATGACTCCATAGGAGTAACGGAAGTATTAAGAAATAGGAAAGCAATAACTTATAACATGGGTGTGGGAGTGGAAAAGGCAATACCTCTAAACAGGCATAGAAAAGCAGTCTGAGGGCCACTATGCTTTCATGAAATAGGGAGTGGCCATCTGAGGGGGCTTATCTGTATTGGGTGAAAAGTACTCTCTCATGCATGCAACGCTGTCCTCATCACATCACTGAAAATATCTTTCTTCTCCCCAACCACAACAAATTTATTCCAATAAAATAGTTTGCTGCTTTGATATACAGGGGTTCTAAGTAGATGAACTAAAAAGAGGTTTATGGATTGAACCCCCAAATTCATCTCTAAATGAATCAGTAGTGTGCCCAGAATTCAGACATACTTAAGGTCATGACAAGTTTCCATGTTAATGTAATACAGATGTTTCTAAAAAAGTCTTCAAAATTAAAGCATTTGTGGAAGAAAAACAACCCTTATGACCTCACAGCACTCATAATACATTAGGGAAGTTAGAGGGCAAGATGCTATGCCAAAGAAATAAAAACATAAGTAAACTCAGAAGATTGAAAAGTCTTCATTCATGCCATCCTTTACCAAACGTTTTTTGAACACCTATGATGTACATGGCACAAATTCTCCCTGAAAATACAGTAAGGTTCAGGAATATTAATGTTTACCTAAATGAGTGTATAGATATATATACCTTGGAAGGCAAAATGTGAAAACAGAAATTTCTTATTAGTTCTCTCTCTTAGAAAAAACAAATAGCAACAATAGAAAAAAAAATCTATCGCCACCAGAACAATTATCCCGTCTGCCTCCTCGCCTCCCCAAGTAACTTACCTTGGACAATAATGAAATGTGGATCTTCTTTAGGATGTAATCCATTTCTTTAAGCTTTGGTCCTACCATAGGACTGTGTGGCCCACTTATGTGACCAATGTGATCTAATCCTAGGTAATGAAGTATTAGCATATCCCAGTCTTCCCTTTTTAATACATTATCCAAATGCCTTGTAATATTATCATCAACCTTTAGAAGGAAGGGAAAAAAATACCTTTAGAAGCTCATCTAATTTTCTTTTCTTTTTCCCCAGTGGGTGAAAATGAAATAATGGGCTGAATTATACTGCCAAAGCAGGCTTTTCTCTTCTAGTACAGTAAAACAACACTATTGTAATATCAGGCCAAAAGAATGATAGACTTTCAACCCTTTGTAGTTTTTACGTTTCACGTGACATGATTTGCTCATGAAAGTCAAGAATAACACCAGTCTTATCAACTACAATAATTCCCGGTGATGCTATAGGACTATGAATCAGGGAGAGCTATGATTGCCAAAAAAAAAAAAATCAAAATTGTGAATGACCCAAAGGGCAACAGAGAAACCCAAGAGTGGACCTAAATAAGCAAGCTGTACATAGCTCACTATTGGCAATGGCTCACATATAAGAAGTTATATAAAAAATATTAAGGATAAGCATGACCAGAAAAGAAAGTGAGTGGGTCATATAGTGAGACCAGAGGATGGACAGGCTGAGTCCTGCACTGTATCTGTGGGTTAAAGATCTAAATCACAGTCACTCATGACCTGTGGAACCTTGGGCCAGTCACACCCTAGTTCTGGGCATCGTTTGTCAATGAGGGAGTTAGACCAGATGACCTCTAAGATCCCTTCTAGCTCTCAATTTATTTTTCCAAAACCAAGAGAAACAGCTCCAGTGAATTTAGCAGATTTTGTTATGTTGTGTCTATGGATAAGAACTGCACTGATAAGAAGACACAGTCGCAACCTGAACCAGGAGAAGATGTAACCCTATCAAAAAGACCACGGCTCCTTCAAGGCAGTAAATGCCAAAAGAGATCTCCTGCGATATAAGAGTGAATGAAAATGGAGAGCTTTAAGTGAAAGCAAAACCATCTTTGCAATGAAGTTTTTTCCTCCCATATCAATGCAATGATTTGTATTAATAGCACCAACAACTTTATTAGAAGAGGAATTACAGCCAAAATAGGCAGTTTGTTTTGGGCAAATGCGACTTGAAATCAGGAACATCTGAGTTTGAACTCTGAGCAAGTCATTCAGCCTCAGTTTCCTCATCTGGAAAATGGGGACTTGCAAGGATCAAATGAAATAACACATATAAAGTGCTCTGTAAATCTTAACGTATTATACAAATATTATTATAACTATCATTATTATTATTTCATAGGATACGAGGCAAAGAATAATTAGGTCCCATACTGTCACTTACACAGGGGGGAGGGAACAATGATTTATTGTTGTTGTTGATGATGATAAAACAATAACACTAGCTAGCACTTACATAGCACCTACCATGCACCAGGCACTGTGCTAAGAACTTTACAAATACGATCTCATCTGATCCTCACAACCAGCCCTAGGAGGAAGGTGATATTGCTATCCCAATTTTACAGATGAGGAAACTAAGGCAGATAGAGGTTAAGTGTCTTGCCCAGGTCACACAGTCGGTAAGTGTCTGAGGCTGTCCAAGGACCAATCTAGCTAATGCAGAGGCTCACCTATAGGAAAATGTCTATTAAGTTGTCAAGATCTTGAGATCTGCCTAAGTGGAAGGCGTATTCACACTGAAGAAATCAGGGGTCCTTAACAGGCTGAAGTATAATAACTTGCTTTATAAAATCACTCACCTCCCTAAAATCTGACACGAAAAAGGAGGTTGTTCCATCATACTCTACAAAATGCTTTGGGAATAACTTAATCCACGTATCATCTCCATAAAAGATGACTCTTTTCCCAGCTGCTTTTGCCTGCCCAATGAGGTTGTCTTCCAGCAACACGGGAGAATTAAAGTTCATAACAGCATCAATAAAGCCAGGGATGCTTCCTGTCATGAGAGCCTGTGTAGGAAGAAACACCAAAAATTAGCCCACAAAACCATGGACTCTCAGAGACAGATAGTAACATTTACAGACAGATTAAGGTTCAGCCAGGCTTTCTTCCCAACCGCCCTGGGAGACAGATGGGAAAGTATCATTCTCATTGTACAGATGAAGAAAACGAAGCCCCGGGAGGTTTAAGTGACTCATGATCTTTATAATACATCATACTGTTTCCCAAGAGAAAAAAGATTATCTAGTCCAGGGGTAGGGACCTGCAGCCTCAAGGCCACATGTGGCCTTCTAGGTTCTTGGCTGTGGCCTTTTGATGGAGTCCAAGTTTCACAGAACAAAACCTTTTATTAAGGGGATTTCTTCTGTGAAGTTTGGATTCAAAGGGCTACATCTGAGGACCTAAAGGACCACACGTGGCCTTGAGGCCGCAGGTTTCCCACCCATGATCTAGTCCGACCCTCTCCCTTTACAAACAGGTGAAGTAAGTTTCAGAGTGGTAACATGATTTGCCAAAAGTCCTACAGCTAAGTCATGGTGAGCGGGAAATGGAACCCTGGACTGACACTGCATACTCTTCTACTTTACTGTGCAGGGACCCAAGGACAGCAAAACTTGAGCCAAGAGGCCTTAAATGCCAGCCAGACTAACTAGTGCAGACTTTATCATGTGGGCAACAGTTCTCCATCAAAGATTTATAAGCAACAAAGTGACATGGTATGGAATCAGTTTTAAAAGATTAATAAGAGTGGCATAAGGATAAGAACTGGAGATTAAGGGCTGCCCACTTGGGCTCCTGCAGTGTGGACAGGCTTCACATTTCATCCAACGCATTGCTAGAAAACAGTGTACTGGAGAAGTGGGAGACCAGTGGTACAGAAAGCTGCATGGGCTGTCAGACCCAACTCTCGCCAGTTTGCTGAAGTTAAAAAAAAATTTGTTACAGGGGAAGCCTCAAGGGGAGGGTTGGGGTTGGCAGAAAGTGAAGTATTTAAAAACAAATAGGACCTCTTTGTGATACAAATCTAGTAGTGGTATTGCTGGATCAAAGGGCAGCATGCACAGCTTTATAGCCCTTTGGACACTGTTCCAAATTGCTCTTCTGGATGGTGGGATCAGTTCACAACTCCACCAAAAATGCTCTATTTTTCCACATCCCCTCCAACATTTATCATTTTCCTTTTCTGCCATTAGCCAATCTGAAGGGTGTGAGGTGGTAGGTACCTCAGAGCTGTTTTAATTTGCATTTCTCTAATCAACAGTGATTTAGAATATTTTATATGCTCTGATTTCTTTGTCTGGAAACTGCCTGTTCATATCCTTTGACCATTTTATCAATTGGAGAATGACTTTTCTTCTTATAAATGACCCAGCTCTCTATACATTTGAGAAATGAAGCTTTATCAGAGATATTTACTATAAAAATTTCCCCCATTTTTCTGCTTTCCTTCAATTTTAGTAGCATTGGTTTTGTTACTATTTTCACTTTTTTTTCTAGTTTTCTTGCAAAAAATGACTAATATAAAAATGCTTTACATGATTGCACATGTACAACTTATATTGGACTGCTTACTGTCTCAGACAGAAGGGAGGGAGGAATAGAATTTGGAACTCAAAACTTTAAAGACAAATGAATGTTAAAAACTCTTTTTACATGCAACTGGGAAAATATATTATTTTAAAAAATAAAATATTTTTAAAGGCATCAATAAAAGGTGTTTTTTTTTAAACACCTATCATCTCCAAAAGACTTATAATGGAAAATGCTATTCACATCCAGAGAAAGAACTATGGAGTCTGAATGCAGATACTATTTGCTCTCCTCTTCTTTTGTTGTTTTGTTCTGTTTCTTCTTTCTTGTGGTTCCTCCCATTAGTTCTAATTCTTCTTTACATCATGACTAATGGGAAAATATGCTTAATATGAATGTATAAGTAGAACCTACATCAGATCGCATACCATCTTGGGGAGGGGGGAGTGGAGAAAAGGGGAGAAAATTTAAAACTCAAAATCTTATGGAAGTGAATGTTGAAAACTAAAAATAAATTGATCAAAAACACAAACAACACACACACACACACACACACACACACACACACACACCATAAAACAGATAATTTTAGAGTGGGCCCTATTTTTTCCCGAGAAATAACATTAAACTAGGAGCTGTGTTCTTAACCCAGTACTTGAGCAAGGCCTAATCATATCATTCTGTTGCTCAAGAACTACTACTGGTTCCTTACTGATGACCCAGCCCTCTAGTCCTTCCATGACAAGGTGATGCTATCTTTTCTTCGCATTCAGCATAGTACTCTCAATCATGCACTCAACAACCTACACTAAGTTTTCTTAAACCGGTCTCCATGAACTTGTTTTTTACGTAAGTTGATAGCTATATTTCAATATATATGCTTCCTCTGTAATACTATGTCTTTTATTTTATGCATTTAAAAACATGATTCTAAGAAGGGCTTCTAGGCTTCCCCAGCCCAAGGGTTCTATGGAGTCAAAAATGTTAAGAACTCTCTCCTGCTCTAGATAAAATGTTCTATTCTCTGGTCCACCTCTCCGTCTTTACTAATGGCATTCACTATGCTTATACACTAACCCAACATCCTCCCCTCACCACCTTATCTGATGAATTTCTACCCATCATTTAAATCTCCACTTAAAAGCCATTTCCCTCAGGAAGTCCTTCCTGATTTCCCCTAAATAATGACCTTATCACCCCAGGCTTCACTCAAGCACTTAGTTTTGAGCCTCTTCAACACACTTATAATGCACTGTTATACAGCATAACCCTGTGTATATATCTGCTCCTCCGACTAGAATATAATCTCTCTGAAAACAAGGAAATACATTCATCCAAACTTTCTCTCTTGCAGAGCTGAACACATCACTCTAACTACAGAAAACATTTAAACATTTGTTTGTTGTGCTAAATTGAAGGATTGAGAATCACACAAATTATTAAAAAGTCATAAAAACAAATCACCACTACAAAATTCTAAAATTGTGTAAAATATTTTTTAATGCTCCAAGTCACTGTTATAGACTATTAGGAAGGAGAGGAACCTTGGAAACCATCTAGTCTGACCATCGCATTCTACTGTACATATAAAAAAACTGAGAAGAATGGAGGCAATTCACTGTTGAAAGTCACACACTTAGCACTAGCGGCAAAGGGAACTAGAATCCGGATCTTCTAACATCTAATCCAATGTCATTTCTACTACACCACACTGGCTCCCTTCAAGAGTCCTACAAAATAGGATTAAGTACACTGCTGATAGCAAATTATACTCAGGCCTCCAAGATACTCTCAAAGCATATGCATAGTACACAACATAATGGTCAGAAATTTGACCTAAAAACATGCTAGAGTAAAATCAACATTGAACATTTAAATTATTTTGCTTGCCTTTTTCATCCCAACGAATTTGAGGAGGTGATATAGAAGGCCTATACTTCTTTTAAAACGCTGTCCAGGGAAGTCTTGCTATCTCTCACTCACAATAAATCCCTTGTAGCAACCAAAGGGATTCAAAATGATCCAACTGATTATTTTTTTTTTTGGCGAGGCAATGGGGTGAAGTGACTTGTCCAGGGTCACACAGTTAAGTGTCAAATGTCTGAGGCCAGATTTGAACTCAGGTCTTCCTGAATCCAGGGCCAGCACTCTATCCACTCTATCCATCTAGCTGCCCCATGATCATTTTTTTAAAAAAACAACAAAACCTGTTAATATCCAAAGACATCCTAAAAGAATCCATATACAAGTGCTTTGAAAACTGCAAAGTTACATACAGGGTGTCCCAAAAGTCTTAGCATAGTTTTAAGTTGTAATAGCTACACAAATGTTAAAAGGCTATAAGGGCTTAGAGAGCAACAGTGCCTATAGTCTGATCCTGCTGTTTATACATGACCACTACTTCCATATTTGTAAAATTCAGTTTGGACCAGATGGCCTCTATGGTCTAACAGGCAATGACGGGGTTTCCCTTTCTTCTTGGCCTCCATAATATCCACCTTCTCAATTACTCAATCAACCAAGTAGCACTGGTTAATAAGCACTTACTATGTACCAGGAACTGTGCTAAATGCTGGTGAGACAAAGACAAAAGCCAGACAGTCTCTGATCTCAAGAAATACACCCTATAACAGAGGGGACTACACCAACATACACAGGTACATCCAAGATGCAAACCAATCAGAGAAAAGACCACATTAGAAGAGAAGGCACCGCAGCGAGGAAGACGGGGAAAGGTCTCCTATCGAAGGTGGCACTTGAGCCCACAGAGTAAGTTTAATGCCTTCGCCACCAAAGGCAGAATGGTGAAGTAGCCAAAGCACTGGATGTGGAGTCCAAGGACCTGAGTTCAATTCTGGCTCTGTCAATTACTACCTGTGTGAAGTTGGACAGGTCACTTGCCCTCTCTGGGACCCAGTTTCCTCATCTGTAAAATAAGGGGAATGAACCAGATGACCTCTGAGGTCTCTCCTGTATCTAAATCTATGGTCCTACATAGCCCTTACCCAATCGGTACCACTCCATCTCTTCAGCCTTTTCTCACATTACTACACTTCCTCCATATCCTCTACAAACCAAGCAAACTAGAGCTATTTACCATCTCCCTTACATTCCCCACAATTTCCAAATTTGGCACCTTTGCTAACCCTGCCTATTGAATTCCTCACCAATTCTAAGATCCAATAGGAAGGAGAAGAGCATCATCCTACGCAGCAGAGAAGACTGGTCCCATTAAAGATGAGAACACTCAGTACAACGTGGACCACAAGGGAACGAACACCACTACATCGTCTGCCAAAGGTGTCTGGATTCTCGAATCAGTCAGACGGAAAGCACCGACATAACTAATAATACACCCACCCATTACGTGGGACTAAATGGTGGCAACAACTAAACAGATGCAAGGTGAGAAATGCCCAGCCGATGATGGAATTCTCCCTGCACATGCCAAGGAGGGAATCGCACAAGGCCCCTACAGATAGGTTCACATTTTACCTTTCATGTGGTCAGAGCCCTCTGACGTGGGACGTACCAAGAACTGTCTCACTCCTGTTTAAAACGTGACCTGAAAAGTCTCAAATAAACAAAAAAGGCATGGACAAAAGGTGCACAGGAAAAATGGCGATGTTCTGATCGATACCAGTGGAACTGGCACCCACCCAAGTGCAAGGATAACAGGAATGAGGGAAGCAGCAGTCTGGGAGAAAGGGTAAAGGTACTTAGTAGTAGTAGGGCACAGCGAATGCTGTGTATGTAAAACTGAATTTTTAAAAGAAGTCTCAGAGAGAAGAGATAGCGGTCAAGCAGGAACATACACATGAACATACATCCACAGCCAAATGACACTCGTTCTCAACATTCTGTTCCAAAGGTCCTAGCACAATATTTTCCTCTCTAGGTTCTAGTTAACATGCATGTAAAGCATTCTGCAAACCTTAAAGCTCTATGTAAATGCCAGCTAGTATCATCATTATTATTATTAACCCATTAAAGACCTTGAAGACTGCTCTATGATGATGAGGATGCCTGTTATTAAAACTGCATATGCCTAGAGTTCCCAGCCATATAGCCTCAACTCTTCATAAGGGGACCACTGAAAACTTAACCAGGGTAGCTTTTGGGTAAGGGCTCCCCATACAGGGCTACAGTGAGTAAAAGGGACCAGGACCCTAGTAGTTTGTGTTAGTCAAATCAAGTAAATATTCGGCTTATCATAACTGAAGTTAGGATCAGAAATGTACGTAACATTGTTCAGTCATGTCCAACTCTTCGTGACCCCATCTGGGGTTTTCTTGGCATAGATACTGGAGTGGTTTGCCATTTCCCTCTCTAGCTCTTTTTACAGATGAGAAAATTGAGGCAAACATGGCTAAGTGACTTGCCCAGAGTCACATAGCTAGTAAGTGTTTGAGGCTGGATTTGAACTCAGAAAGATGAGTCTTCCTGGTTCCCAGCCCAGGGCTCTATCCACTGTGCCACCTAGCTGCCCTCTACATAATGCAGATTTTATTTTTATGCTTGTATAAGGATACTACCTCATTTATGCCCTCTCTACTTTACTTTGTTTCCTCCTAAAAATTCCTTTTGGAAAATTCCAGTCTTGTCTCACTTGGACTAAAAGGAAAGAGTTTCCTTTCCTATACCCCCAGCCTTTTGTCAGTGCCCTGCTAGTATCCAGGTGCGGTGCAGTCAATGGTACCACATACATCTGCTTAAGTACCAGCAAGAAAGTGATCAAGTCAAGGAAAAATAAATACGGAACTCAGGAGATAAAGGGTCAAAGATAATTATGGATTTTCATCTCTTCCTGCTTAGCTTAAATTAAATTAATCATTCGTAAAGAGCTTAGCATAGTACCTATACACAATAGGCACTATGTAAATGATAGCTGTTATTATCATCTCTTTAAGTTGTCTTTGTCTCACCTTAATTTTAAGGCTTGGGGTGGGGGCGAAAGTAGCACTTTCTTATAAAAGGATGGAGAGCCTGCAAAAGACTACTAGTTTATCCCCCATGTTTCTATTTCCTAACTAACTACTCACTCTACTGAATCTTTCTTTTTAAAATCACAACCACCTCCTTATGGTAAGAAGTGAAAAACTGTGCCCAGCTGGACACCTTCTACAGCTCGCTGCTGCTTTTCACCCAGCTGACCAGCCTCTCACATGGAATGTTCCCTCCTCCCAAGGCTTCACCGAAGAGCCACTCTGGTTATCTTTCTAACTACTCCTATTGCTGGCACTGTTGTAGGGCTTCTTGGAAAACATTCATCTACCACAACCCCCTACTTTTAAAGATGAAGAAATGGAGGTACTAAGAGGCTAAGTGCTTATCCAAAGGCTGAAAACATTCCAATCGAGCAAGAAACTTTATTAAGCAGAGCTGGGATTCTGCATCATCTTTGAATCTAAATCTCTGGCTTTTCCCACTAACCGCACTGCCCTTTCTCCTCCTTCTCTATCCTCTCTATCAGCAAGGTCTTCATGTCTATAACTTCCAAATCTACCTCTCCAGACCTAGGCTCCCTGTTGAGCTCAAATCTCATCTCCAGCTGCCTACAGTCACCTCCATGTCTCAACCACACTTCAAACTCAGCATGGCCCAAACAGAGCTTATTTTCTTGCCCCGAAACGTGGCCCTCCTTCTGGCTTTACTGTTTCTATTCTGTGGCTCCATCAGGCACCATCTCCCAAACCTAAAACCTTGGTGTGACTCTTCCCTCCAGCTCACCCTTCACAGACTACCACAACTTCTCCACCCATTCCTTTATCCCTGTTCCTAGGGCCATTCTGATGGGGTGCTTGGGCCCCAGCCCTAAGATCATGTCTCTGGAAGCCCCAAATTCCTTAGTAGACCCGTATCATGCAAGAAAAACTTCCCTTGCTGCAGAACACATTCTCTTATCAGAACAGACACAGGGATGCCTGGCCCAAGGATTTTCATCCCTGGCTGGCCCAAGGACTCTTCCTCGAGTCAGATCTCCAGGGTCCATGCCTCTGACAACTCCCTCAATGTCTGGTATCAACAAAGTTATCTCTGTAAAACTCCTTACATTTTCCCACCCATAGTTCCCAAAGACACCTGGACCCCTTGCATCACCTAATTAGCATCCCTGGCATTCCTTTCCCATGCCCCTTTTTCCATATAGGTCCCAGCACCAACCTCCGTATCTACGAGGTTCCCTAAGGACCCTTGCCAGTTTTTGCTAAGGCATTATAATAAACTTTTCTGCCACCTGACTAAGAGAAGGCTTGAGTGTGTGAATTCATTCCAGGCAACTCCCCATAACACATTTCCCCCTTCCCTGCTAGCATGCCCTCTACTCTTACTTTGATGCCATACTAAATTTTATTTCAGGAACATCCTCCTCCTCTTCTGCTGAATTCTTACCTCCTTTAAACTCAAACAAAATACTACCTCCTTCAATAACGATCATCTCTAATCCTCAATGAGTCACTAACACATTGTTTACACATTTCCAATGCACTTACACAGAATGTCCCAGAAATCTTCATGCCTTTTTAAGCTATTAAAATTTAGGAAGAAAGAGGACAAAGTGCCAGGACGAAGACTTTCGGGACGCTGTAGTCTGTCTCACTGGTATCTGTTCTTATGTCCTTATCCCCTACTAGAGTTCAGGGACCACATCTCAGTTACACCTGGTATCTGCCCTGGTACCTACCACAGTGCTCTCTACGTCCAAACTTTAGATGAAGAAACAAAAGAACTTCTTCTAGTTTGGGCTCTTCCATGAAGTGGTTCCATGGTCACTTTATCTGTCCAGAGTGCATTCCCTCAGATGTTAAAATAACATCTGGACAAAGCCTCCTCCAAGATCCCTTTTGGTTCTACAGTTCTATGACTCTTTAAACTTCTGGTCTACAATGATTAAACACAATTACATACAGGTGTGGAAAACCAGAAGGGAAATCTTGCTGAATGCTAAAGCTACAGCTCCTTCCAAAGTACCTTTCCTGGGGATTCATCATGCAAGTACTGACTTTCATTGCTAAAAGAAGGCGTAACACCAACTTCCTGACCATGTTATTGGGGAACATTTCCAGACTATTTCCTGCATTACTACTAAGCCCTAAATTAATATATACAGAGTGGGAAGGAATAAAGGTAGTAAGTGTGAATTCTAAGAACCGGAATACACAAAGCCACTCTGAACCACCAAGGCAGTTAAACTATGAGGTCATAAAACACCATATCAAACTGTTTACCTTGATTCGAGGCAGAGTGACAGTGGGTGGCTTTGCTTCTGCTATAAAACTATGGCTGAATCCTTTTTCTACAAGATATGTTGTATAAGGCATGAATTGCACACCCTTTGATCCAAACACAAAATCACCTCTCAAGCCGTCCACCAGCATTATAACAACTTTTCTGAAGCGAGGAGGTGGAAGCTGGGTCCAGTTGGAACTCATTCCTACAAAAGCATTTAAAAAGGGGAAAAGAAAAGAATTTGAATTCCTTTGACACAAAACTGTTAAACATTTAACATTAAAAATACACTAAGGTATAAAATGATGGGATATTTACTAAACACTACTGTAATAATATATATCATAAATTACATATTTTATATATAATTACATATTATATGTTTGAATCAAAACTGGTTCCAAAGTCTCTAATCCAATATTGTGTTACATATATCCAACAGAACCTTGCTATAAATATGATCTGCTACTGAACTTTATACTGCCTATGAACACCTTCCATACCTTTTCCTTCTCTCTTTTCCAGACAGCAATAACCTCTCTATACCTTCTAATGGCAAGAAATGAAATGCAGGTAATCAAAATATTCAATATAAGAATATTTAATGTATAGTTTACATTAACCAATCAATAAAGATTATTTTTAAGTGCCTACTATGTGTCAGGCAATGTGATAGGCCTTGATGATTCAAAAACAAAAATCCAGCAGGCCTTTAATTTAAGGAGCTTATATTGCAGTGGGGTAACATGTACACATATAAGCACATACAATATAAATTCAATAATATTACTTAGGGGAAAGAGGTGGAAAGGGTCAAATCAAGCCAACAAGCATTTATTAAGCTCCTACTATGTGCCAGGTACTGTGATAAGCACTAGAGAAACAAAGTAAGTTTAAAAAAAAGTCTGGAAAGGTTCTAAGTAAAAGGTAGTGTTTGAGCTGAAGTTCGAAGGAAAATCCCAGGTGAAGAAAAGAAATCATTCCAGACATGAAGGACAGACATAAAGAAACATACTGGAAGAGTAAATCAAACCAATATAACTCACAACCATGGGGAGAGGAAATAAAAGAGTGTATATAGCAAGCAAAAAATTCCAGTAAGGAGAAAGGAATGTGTGACCTCTGGGAATGACAAAAGGCGGCTTTCCTAGGAAAAGCAAAAAGTGAAAGTCTCCATTTATGTCTGTGCTGGATCTTTTCCTACTGGAGGAACAAGCAGAAGGTGGTGTTAAAGGGGACCAAGAGGAAGAAGGATACATAAGAGATGGAAGAAATGGTCATGGTCTATCCAAATAAACACAAAGATTAGTATAAGTCAAGAAAAAAGCTACGGAATTATTCTAAGACTGTATCATTTCAAATTAATAACTACTGGGAAAGTCGGCACCCTCTCACACCAATCCTGTATAATTTCTAAAGTTTAAAAAAAACCAAACAACTGTACGGACTCTCAAGAGGACTGCCTACCTATTTGCTCAGGGACATGATAGAGGAGGAAAAAATGAGTTTGGGAAAGAGCCTAGTCAGAAATAACAGCCAGTTGTAGCTAATAAGGAACAAGAAAGTCAGACCCCATGGACCACAGCAAAAAAGAAAGAAGATATCAGTGGAGCTGTGCTTTGATTGAATAATTCCACCTGGGGATTTCTACTATCAAAAAGGTACCATACTAACATATATGGTGTTAGGCTGTCAAAAGTATTGATGATGAGGTTAACCCAAAATCAATACTGGCACGGGGAGGAGAGTAATTCTGGGAACTGGTTAGTATGTAGTGGAGGATGGATGGATGTCTGGGAGAAGCTCAAAAGAAGTGGGAAGTCATTCTGCCTGATTCTCAAGGTTAAATGAGCTACAGCAAGCCATGAAAGAGGACACTTAAGGTAACGATAGGAAACATTGCAGGTGGGCTGGGGGAGATCAAGAGAACTGGGAGATGAGGAGAGGGTATGGAAGGTATTCAGTCTCCTTGAGCAGTGGTGTAAAAATCAAATAGAAATGGGGCCCACTAATCCTGACATAAGGATCCCTGCAGGCTGCAAAAGGACTTAGTTTTAAAATGTAATATCTGTATTTTGTTGTATTTTTATTTCTTCTGTCAAATATCTCCCAATTACATTTTAAGCTAGTTCAGGTCTCTGCAGTCCACCTCTGCTCTGGAAGCAGTTGGATAATCCTGAGCAATCATTTTCAATTTACAGCCATACACAAGGCTAAGGAACGCCAAAAATAGTAATGATTACTCACATTCGTATAGTACTTTGGAGTTCGCAAAGTATTTTTCACATCTACTTAACAGTAGAATATTAGCCCCATAAGAAAACTGAAGCTCAGAGTGGTTAAGTATATCAACAGTTAAAGTGATTAAAGACTCAGACCCGTCTTCTGAATCTAAGATCAGGATTCTCCACTTACGATATCTCTGAATCAGAAATTAAAGGTAAAACAGGTGCATGCATTTTTTATTTGCATCACTCACCACACTGAATGTTACTGTGGATTAGATGGCTGTGAAAACTTGGGGGGGGGCAGGGCTCTTTGAGAGAGTTAGGGGAGAAGTGTTTGGATAATCACTCAGCTCTGCAAGCCAAGGAGCAGTAAATATATACAGCAATATCGCACTGTTTTATATGCTCTAAGATCTAGAAAACTCTGGGTAACTCAGAAGCATCCCCCATAAAATGGACAATCTTCTCCCACATTAGTGGAAGATGTTTTGAAAGAAGCTATTTTGATACCCAGGCCCAGCCAGGAAGAAAAGTCCAAAAGCAAAAGACTCTTCTCTCCCCTCTCCCCACCCCATGGAACATCTGTTACACACATTTACATGGAAGGACAGTAAGAGAGTATATGTCCGACATATGTTAACGGGGAAGAGTGGGAAATGTTTATGTACCTTCAGATGCCATTCAAGGATTCTAAAGTGATTAAAAAAATACAAAACAAAAAAAACTCTGCACTCAGTGCCATTTTTCCAGGGGTCAGTAATATCCCAGTAAATCTGAGTGACCAGGCTCTAAAACAAGTCATTTTCAGTGTTGAAGTATCATCCTTCTAAGAATCTATACATTCATATCTGGAGTGAGAGGAATGGCTCTCAAACCACTGAGGCTCACTATCCAAATTATTTCAGACATATGCTCTATTATGCAATGATGGAATGGAAAAAAATTAACCAGTACAGTAGTATGCAAAGGCCTTTCTCCCCATTGTGGGTGGGGTTTTAGGGAAATGTTGTTAAAATCCAGGACCCAGGGGAACTAGTTTTACAAGCCCTAGAAAGAAGGCTGTGGAAATTACAAATCAGGGTTCTGTGCCTCAGAACCACGGAGGGCAGGGAATCCTGCACTGAGAGCTCACCATAGTAGCATACTTTCAGTACTATCACTGGGCTGCTTTCACAGGCTCCCAAATCACTGTTGGACTCTCGGTGATTACTTATGTCTGTCATAGTTGTAAAATGTGCCTACATAACAACTTTATTTCCCCTAGTGTCAACTTTGTGCAACTTTAACTTAAATCCAATTCACACACAAGTCAAGACATCACCTTTATGACGTACCTAGTCCTCGTTTTATTCAAAATGGGAGGAAACGTCTAAGGTCCTGTCTCTTTGCAGCCTTTAAATGATCCCAATTGCTATACATAACATGAACTAAAAATTCACCATTATAAACCCATAGGGTACAAGGAAGTTGGAAACACAATGCCTTGCACGCAGTAGGGCTTTAATAAATTTTCATTAGTTGAACCGAAGGAACCACAAGGCTTGGACTGGTGAGGGCACAAACCGAAGGCATCTCTATAGAGGCCAAAGCAGTCAGATGCTGGATCTTTCTGGAGGAATCTCAAGGTTGAGGCAGGGAAGGTGTGAGCCGAGGGCAAAGACCCAAAAAGGGCAGAAGAGCCCAGAGGTCCTGTTCACGTGTGAGTTGATTTGTCAGACTGAGGCGAGGCCCCTCCACCCCCCATCCAGGGAGAGAGCCCTTACCTGGAGGGCAAAGAACGGAACTTGGGGCAGGGAGGACCCCCTACTTCTTACCTGAAGTGTATGGGGAGAGCACAAGACGGAGGGGAGAGGGAGGAGTACGAAGGAGAGGGTCCTGGGAAGGGAAGGGTACGAAGGTGAGTTGGAAGTGTATGGGGGGGGCACCAGAGGGAGGCCCCGGAACCGAGGAAGGGGAGGCTCGGCCTCCGTACCTGCCGCGGGCTCCGGCGCAGGGGGCAGGGGCTGGACCCGGAACGCAGAGCGCACCGACACGGGGAAGAAACCCCGGAGAAAGACAGCGACCCCGAGCACCTCAATCACCACGCAGCAGGCGGCGAAGGCTCCGGAGCCCAGCCGCATGGCGGCTCGTGTGCCGCGGGCCCCACAGACCCCCAGGCAGAGTTCGAGCCCGGCCCCGACCAGGGCCTGCGGCCAGCACCTGAGGACGCCAATACGACATAGTGAGCATGCGTGCTTGCACCGGCCCGTGCGTGAGCGGGTTCCCGGGGATCCCTGTGATTGGTGTTCGGCTGACGCGGGGCGGAGCTTTGGAATCCTACCGGAAGTAACTTCGCCAGTACTTCCGCCTAGTGGGTTTCAAATTTGTCTTGGGGTTTGAGGCTGTCTTTGTAGTGTGATGCTAGTTTACGTATTGTCGTCATAGAACCCGGCACAGGCCCCAGTCTCGAGCCGAGGTGCCCTGAACTCCCTCGACCCCGAGAAACGAGCGATTTAGGCTCAGCCCCGCCCCTTCACTGCTCAGCCTGAGACGCTTTGGTGTTCGCGGCCTTGCTGAGCTAGCTGGTGCCGCGCATGCGCATATGCGTCTGCTCCTGGGCCTGTTTGCATGCAGGCCTGGGACAAGCAGAAACAACGAGAGACTTGTCCTGCCTCTGTTCTGGGGCTGGTGTTGTGCACTGCACTGGGATAATTTTTTTATTTTGGAGATTCGGACCGTAAACTCCCAGTGTTGGAAATCCCTGCACCAGTGAAGTTCAGAGGCTCGTTAATAGCTGTGCAGATGAAGTGATTTCTCTAGGAGAATGAAAGATTAGGTGAAATAAGATCTTTCAGACTCTAAAGCCAACCCTTTCTCAAATACCCTTAAAAAGAAAAACTCCAATTGATAAATGGTCAAAGGATATGAACAGACAGTTCTCAGATGAAGAAATTAAAGCCATCTATAGTCATATGAAAAAATGCTCTAAATCATTATGGATTAGAGAAATGCAAATCGAAACAACTCTGAGGTACCACATCACACCTATCAGACTGGCCAACATGACAAAACAGGAAAATGATAAATGTTGGAGAAGATGTGGGAAAATTGGAACACTAATGCATTGTTGGTGGAGTTGTGAAATGATCCAACCATTTTGGAGAACAATTTGGAACTATGCCCAAAGGGCTATAAAAATGTGCATACCCTTTGGCCCAGCAATAGCACTTCTAGGGCTATATCCCAAAGAGATCATACAAATGGGAAAAGGACCCACATGTACAAAAATATTCACAGCAGTCTTTTTGTGGTGGCAAAGAATTGGAAATTGAGAGGATGCCCATCAACTGGGGAATGGCTGAGCAAGTTGTGGTATATGAATGTAATGGAATATTATTGTGCTATAAGAAATGATGAGCAGGTGGACTTCAGAAAAACCTGGAAAGACTTGTATGGTCTGATGCTGAGTGAAGTGAGCAGAACCAAGAGAACGTTGTGCACAATAACAGCCACGTTGTGCAATGACTAATATTGATAAACTTAACCCTTCTCAGCAATACAAGGATCTAAGATATCCCCAGAGGCCTCGTGTTGGAAAATGCTATCTACATCCAAAGAAAGAGCTATGGAAGCTGAATCACTATCATTTTTTTTCTCTTCTGTTGAGTTTTGTTTCCTCTTTCTAATGGTTCCTCCTATTGGTTTTAATTTTTACTTAATAACTTCACTAATGTGAAAATATGTTTAATAGGAATGCAAATGTGTAGCCTATATGATAAGGTGCGCAGTCTTGGGGAGGGTGGTGGGGAGGAAGGGGGAGAAAAATTTTAAACTCAAAAGCATGTGGAAGTGATTGTTGATAAATCAAAATAAATTAATAAAATTTTAAAAAATTTTTAAAAAAAGAAAAAGAAAAAACTAGATAACTGCATCTAGAGAGCTTGTGGCCATAAACTTCTTAAAATTCTTCTGAGGCCTGGTCTAGCAGCCCACCAATGTGTTCTCTTTCCCACATCTCTAAAGTTTGGAGACCCTCTTCTTTATGGTGCCCAGTGGTTCCAATATTCAGCTATTATTGAAAGAACACTGGCTTTCTTTTGATTTTTTTCCTATGGTTTTTGCTTGTTTGTTTTTTGACTGCTAGTAGCTGCAAAGAATTAGATGAGGGTTTAAAATAAAGCAAAGGAGAGCCTTTGTACAAAGCTATAGAAGTCTCACCTGGTCTTCACAGTGGGTCTGATCGTCTCTGCACCTGCCACCTTTTACGAAATCATTTATTCTTTTAGGAGGCAGCCACCTATTTTTTAATCTCATTTTTTCTCAATTACATGTAAAAAAATGGTAACATTCTTTGTTTAAAATTTTGGTTTCCAATTTCTCTTTCTCCTCAAGAAGGCAAGCAATTTGATACAGATAATACCTGTGCAGTCATATGAAACATTTCCATGTTAGCCATATTGCCAAATAAAACAAACCAAAAGGAAATGGAAAATAAAGTTCAACAAGGTATGCTTCGATCTGCATTCAGACTCTATCAGTTTTTTGTGGGGATGTGGATAGGATTTTCTCTTAAGTGCTTTGGAATTGTCTTGGTACAATTATATTGTTCAGAATAGCTACATCATTTACAGTTGGTCATCATACAATGTTGCTGTTACCATATACAGATGTCTTCTGGTTCTGCTCCACTTTGCATCATCAGTTCATGTAAGTCTTTTCAAGTTTTTCTGAGAGCATCTTTTTTGTCATTTCTTTCATACATTTTTTTCCTTTTTGGCCAAGCAATGGGGTTAAGTGACTTGCCCAGGGTCACACAGCTAGTAAGTGTCAAGTGTCTGAGGCCAGTTTTGAACTCAGGTCCTTCTGACTCCAAGGCTGGAGCTCTATCCACTGTGCCACCTAGCTGCCCCCTTTGTGTCATTTCTTATAGCACAATAGTATTCATCACAATCATATACTACAACTTTCATATACTATAACTTGTTCAGCCATTCCCCAATTGATGGGCATTTCCTCAATTTCCAATTCTTTGCCACCACAAAAGGAGCTGCTATAAATATTTTTGTACAAATAGGTCTTTCTCCTTTTTCTTTGATCTCTTTGGGATACAAATCTAGCAGTGGTATTGCTGGATCAACGGGTGTGCACAGTTTTATAGCCCTTCGGACATAGTTCCAAATTGCTGTCCAGACTAGTTGGATCAGTTTACAACTCTACCAAAAGTGTATTAGTTTCCCTATTTTTCCACATCCCCTCTAACATTTGTCATTTTCCTTTTCTGTCATGTTAGCCATTCAGGTGTGAGGTAGTGTTGCAGTCTGAGAGGTTGTGACCCCTCAAAGACTGGAGTACTCGATGGGTCATCTGGAATGAATTCACAGACTCAAGCATTCTTTAAGTCAAGTTGGCAAAAAGTTTATTGTTATGCTTTTCAGCGGGCAAGGATTCTTAAGGATCCTGCAATCTTAGAGGGGTACAGTTAAAGTTTATGTAGGATAAAATACAATAAAACATGTGCCAAATATGCTAACAAGGTGATTCAGAGTGGCATTGGGGAGTGGTTAAGGAGTGGTCAGTTCTTAAAAGAATATGCACTTCTTGTACCTACTGCACAGGCATTTTACCCAGAGTTCACTAGGAAAAGCCCACAAGAGGGGCCACATGGAGGTGTGGTTTTAGGCCTGCTACTAAGTTAACTAGAGTTCAGGGGTAACTGAGAGTTGTCCAGTCTGCCACCAAGCAATGTCTTGTTTGACAAGATAGATGTAGGGAGTATACATATGTCTTAAGTCTAGAATACACTTACTGAGAAGCCCAGGATGTAGATAATGAGGTAGGGCGGTAGTATAGATAGTCCAGTGGGTAAGAATGTCTTTATGACTCAGTGCAAAGCCAGTTCAAACTAATAATTCCTTCAGGTGCTATTTGTAACTGCACCAGGGAAAGAGATAAGGGTCTTGCTGGGGCCCACTCATGAGTGATTGCTAAGCACAGGGTCCTTGGGCTGGGAGAGAAACTGTCAGAGACAGTGTTTCTGAGGCTAGGGAGAAATTGGGGTCCATGTACAAGCACCCAAACATAAGCACCCAAACACCCCATCAGTGGTACCTCAGAGTTGTTTTTAATTTGCATTTCTCTAATCAATAGTGATTTAAATCTTTTTTTTATATGACTATAGATAGCTTTGATTTCTTTTTCTGAAAACTGCTTGTTTATATCCTTTGACCAATTATCAGTTGAGGAATGACTCATATCCTTGTAAATTTGGCTCAGTTTTCTCTATATTTAAGAAACAAGGCCTTTATCAGAGAGAACAGGTGTAAAAAAAAAATTACCCCCAGTTTCCCACTTCCCTTCTAATCTTGGCTGCATTGGTTTTGTTTATGCAAAATCTTTTTCATTTGATGTAGTCAAAATTATGCATTTTACATCCTATAATGTTCTCTGTCTCTTGTTTGGTCATAAATTCTTCCCTTATTCTTAAATCTGACAGGTAAAATATACCATGCTCCCCCAATTTGCTTATGACATCACCCTTTGTGTTTAAATTACATACTCATTTTGACCTTATCTTAGTATATGATATGAGATGTTGGTCTATACTTAGGTTCTGCCAAAGCTTTTCAGTTTCCCCAACAATTTTTGTCAAATAGTGAGTTCTTGTCCCAAAAGTTTGGATCTTTGGGTTAATCAAACACTAGATTGCAATGGTCATTTACTACTGTGTATTATATGCTTAATCTATTCCACTGGTTTACCACTATTACTTAGCCAGTAGTAGACTGTTTTGATGATTACCACTTTGTAATGTGTTTTGAGATCTGGTACTGCAAGTTTGCCTTCTTTCACATTTTTTTCATTGATTCTCTTGATTTTCTTGATCTTTTTTGTTGTTGATAGACAAAGAATGAATTTTGTTATTATTTTTTCTAGCTCTGTGAAATAATTTTTGGTAGTTTGATATGGCACTGAATAAGTAAATTAATTTAGATAGAATTGTCATTTTTATTATCCTGGCTTGGCCTACCCACTTGTTTAGATCTGACTTTATTTGTGTGAAAAGTGTTTTGTAATTGTGTTCATACATTTCCTGAATTTGTCTTGGGCAGGTAGACTCCCAAGTATTTTATATTGTCTGCAGTTATTTTATTTTTTTGGATTTTTTTTTTTAGGCAATTTGGGGTAAGTGACTTGCCAAGGGTCACATGGTGAGGTTATTTTAAAT